GTCTGTACATGAACTACAAGCACTGAGTGTCTGTACATGAACTGTAATCACTGAGGGTCTGTACATGAACTGTAATCACTGAGGGTCTGTACATGAACTGTAATCACTGAGGGTCTGTTCATAAACTGCAATCACTGAGGGTCTGTACATGAACTGTAATCACTGAGGGTCTGTACATGAACCGCAGTCACTGAGGGTCTGTACATGAACTAAAATCACTGAGGGTCTGTACATGAACTGCAATCACTAAGGGTCTGTACATGAACCACAATCACTGAGGGTCTGTACATGAACTGCAATCACTGAGGGTCTGTACATGAACTGCAATCATTTAAGGACATTGTTCAGAAACTACAGTCATTCAAGGTTATTGCTCATGAACTGCAATCATTCAAGGTCATTGTTCATAAACTAGTCATTCATGGTTATTGCTCATGAACTGCAATCATTCAAGGTCATTGTTCATAAACAACAGTCATTCAAGGTTATTGCTCATGAACTGCAATCATTCAAGGTGATTGAAACAAGAAGCACAACTAGTGAAGGTTATTGCTACAGAAAACAGTTATTCGACCTCTAGTCCATATGAACTGTAACTATCAAGGTCATGCATTGTTACATTAAACTGAAACAATCAAGGTCAATGTTACATGAATGGCAGCTATTCAAGGTCACTTTCATAAGAAAATTGCATTATGTAATCTTCAAGATCACACCAACTTAATGTGATTCAAATACACTTGACTATTAAGGGTATACAATGTATGTTTGTCTACAAGCTTAATAATGCCAATATCTTTGACAAAGCAGTAAGATTACCAAGATAGTCTGTCCCTAGAATGGTCTCGCACTCTTCCTAAAGCTGTATTTATTTACTGTAAACTTTTAAGTGATAGTTACCTCCCGAATAGTTACACATACAACTGTTCTATATTTTTGTATGAAATTGACAATAAAGGACTCTAGACAAAATATTTTTGGAACTGAAAACTGTTTAAACTTCTCGGAAACAAAGCCATACATTCTTTCATCAATGAAAAATAATGTTTCAAATATTAATATTATCTTTTTGAATTGTCAAAATAAAACTTTAAATCCACTTTCATATTTTTTAATGCACATTAGTTGTAAACGTAAGTCTGTAGTAATTTAAAGTCCTACATGCGACAACAGAAATAAAAATAGCTCTAAATATAATCCTGTCATCTTTTACTTTGGAAATGAATACATCATGAATTAAAATGTAGACTCAAAATATACATAAGCAGCTTAAGACAGTATTTTATGAGTAAACATAAGCGCTACAGCCAGGGCAAGCAGCGGTCAATGTGTTAATCCTGACGAGACAGCTACACACCACCATATAAGCTGTAGGTGTAATATTTAACATATACATGTTATATATATTGGCAGGCACTTTGCCTGTCTATACATTCAGAATCTTTCCCAATTTAATTTAGCCAATTTTTTACCCAATTTCCCCAAAAAATTAGTTTCAGTGCCTACAATAACAGAACAAGAGTACCGCGGGGCGGAACAATATACGCCCATCGAATGCCATATAGTGTTATATACTTTCTTACATTGAACTAAGATCTTCATCATTCTAAGAGTGGTTAGCTGACATGCTATAAAAAATGTAAGAGAAAATCTCCGGACAAAAAATCAAATACTGAAATGAACAAAGGGCAATAGTTTTTTCAAAAATTGTCGAATCAAAATTCAAGGAAACACAACAACATATTATGATTATTTAGCCTACTAAGTTTCAAAGAAATCCGTCAAGAAATGTAGGAGAACATTGCCAGAGAAAAAATCAAATACTGAAATGAACAAAGGGCAATAACTTTTTGAAAAATTGTCGAATCAAAATTCTTTTGAGGGAGACACAACTTCATATCATGATTATAATGTATACTATGTTTCAAAGAGATCGGTCATAAAATGTAGGAGGAGATTGCCGGACAAGGCCGGCCGGCCAGACAAACCCATACCATAATATTGACGGGCATATAAAAAGAAAATCAGAATATTCTTTTTGAAATACAATAAAATCTGTAATAGGAAACCATCTTCAGGAAGTCAAAAGAGTGGTCTCTTAACACAGGTGGTCTCTTAAGGAGGTGGTCTCTTAACACAGGTGGTCTCTTAAGGAGGTGGTCACATTAGCAGGCTTGACTGCTGTACTAGCTTAAGCTTGTTAAAGTGCATTACACAATCATATTTCCTTATGAGCAAAATGTGTTTATTAGGTCATATTAGTGCCACTTCAGAATAATTTGTTGGACATTCAACTTATGCTCTGGATTTAACAACACAAAGTCATATCTGATCAAATCATCTAGTTCAGTAAAGTTAACAGTTAATGTATTTCATAGCAAGGCTCATGAGATCATAGTTTCTACGTCATAAACATATTTTATTCAACCTAATAAGTGACCTGGGCACTCTTAACAATTTACGAATATTGAAATGGTTCAGAATCTTCCAAAGGCACAAAAACAGGCATAGTAGGCCCTTTTTAAGAAGGTTTGTAAATCATGGTTAACTTAAAGGAGTTTCCGGACTGGAAAAAAGACAGGGATGCGCTCATTAGGTAAATACTGGTACCGTAAAGTTTCTTCAACATGGTCTGTAAATTCAATCTGATTCAAATCACAAGTATAGGTGTACAAACTGTTTTAATGCATGAGGAGGCCGCAGTACCCACTATACCAACAGACCACTCCTTCACCTATACCTATATCCTTTAATGTTCTCTCAATGCAGACACAAGTTGAAGAAACACCAGTAAGGTGGGGGGTCAACTTTTCTGTGTTTATGGCAGCAAGAAGGAAAGTGACACATGTAGAACCTACATGCATTATTAAAACTCCTCTGTGCATGCATTCAGAAAGTAAAAGAGACTTATCTCATAATAAGTAGTACTTCTGATGCACAGACATGTAATGGAACAATGGCAGAAATGCAAATACCAACGCAATATATTACATCACATTACACCGCCCCAATTTGACGACTTTTTATGTAATCCAAATATCACCTGACTTACCTGGGAATGTAAGGACACCTGGGTGGTTTCCCAGTCGCACGTTTCACAGTAAATCTCTCGGCCATGATTGCAGTATAAAACAGTTACAGTATTTCGTCACACATCTTATACATGAAACAGTTGAAACACTTTCAAACACTTTTCTGTATCAATCCAATCACCATATTTATTTTTTTCCAAATGTCAAAATGTGCATATTAATTTAAGAAAGACATGCCTTGTTGACAAAAATATTGAAATTTTTTAGAATTCCATTATTTTTCAAAATTCCGTGTATCAATTTGGCAATTGAATTTAAATCTCGTCTTTTGCTGTTGATATAATCCTGTAGAAGATTTTGAAGTTTAAAAGATAAATCCTTTTCCAAATGCTAGATTTTATCTTCCTGATGTCTGCAAAATGAAATCAACTTTCTCACAACTAACACTATTAGTTATTGACGAGTGTCCTTTCAACCTTTCTACTCTAAGTCACTATATATGACACGATGCCATGCAAACAACTGCAGATCTAATATATATTATAAACTTTGGCATTGTAAGTTACCATTTAATTTCATTTTCAAAGGGAAATTAAACTCTACCTACTTATAGACCCTTAATTCCCGTCTGACTGTATGATTAAATTAATTTGTCCACAGGTCATTCAGTTCCATTCTGTCTGCTCCAGGACAAATTTTAATTTCATAAGCTGGATTATACCTCTTAGATAGAATATATACCTACAACGTATAGATAGTCGACTACCTGATATATACTGTATATCTTACATCAAATATTGTCAACATAAAACTTAATCTTACTTATGGTTGAATGTTTTTAATTTTAGATTTTATTTACAGCACCAAAACTGCTATATCTTATTTGTAAGTGTGCTGCTTATAAATTTTGAGTACGGCATTGCTAAATCCAGATTGTACTAATGTTAGTTTGGTTTGGTTTGTTTGTGTTTTACGTCCTTTTAACAGCTATGCTCATTTAAGGACGTGCCAGGTTTTGGTGGTGGAGGAAAACCGGAGTTCCCAGAGAAAAACCTCCGACCGGTGGCCAGTACCTGGCGACTGACCCATGCAGGTCTCAAATCTGTGACCAAGTGGTGGAGGGCTAGGGTAGCAGAATGTCGGACGCCTTAACCACTTGACCACCAAGGCTCTAATTTTAGTACATTTTTTCACTATAAATAATGTTTTCAGTACATAAATAGCTCAATCATAGCCTCTTATGCATCTTAGTTTTCACTTAATGTCATTTCCATACAACAAACCCCCAGATTAAAGCCATTTTGGTCTAGTGTGGAGTAGATCAGTGGTACGCCATCATTAGCTGGAGAGTACCAACTTTCACAAGCATAGAAGAGTTATGTCCCTTTACTCAAGATATCTACCTTATTCCTCACAAGGTGATATCTGTATTCCAGGACATGTACATGAACAATCAAATCTGTAGCTACTGTGCATTTCAAAATGAACATTGTGTCTTCACTTGCTACAACGTTAAAGTGAACTCATTTGTATCATGCAATTCATGTTCTTATTAACATTCAATCAACTTGATTGAAATGATAGTGGAAACATAAAATTTCATATATTTGACTACACGTCAACCATCCATATAAAATGAAACTTTGCTAGTTCAGAAAGTTTGGTTTCTAAACTAAATGTTTAGGAAACTGAATTGTGTAGGTTATTGAAATAGGATCCTCTGCAAAACACATAGTAATTAATTTCAATAATTTGATTGAAAAAGTTATTAACTTTTTTTTATTTGATTTAATAGACAACAATTTTCCTTTGAACCATATGTCCAACATCCCACTACCTCCACGTTTGTTGCATAACCTAAAGTTCCAGATTGAAAAAGTTGGTCCCAGCTTGATGTTACATGTATTACCTGTCCTGTACAATATGATTTACAAAACATAACAAGGTAACAAGAGTTATGTCCCTTACCTCCAGACTAGCAGTGTGAGGGTCCTGAAGGCACTCTGGATCAACTGTACAGCCTCGGTCAGAGACACACATTTCACATCATTCACACCAAGTACATAATCCCCGAGCCTCAGAGAGGCGCTTACATCCGCCTTCCCCTCGGCGTTTATCTGAAAATACATAGAAATATTCTTCAAATGGGTAATAATCTTTCCAATTGCTGCTGATCATCAAATTAGAAATAATATTATTACCTTTGGCATTATAACGAAAAACAATGTCATTTTTTTTACAGATGTATTCCAAATAAAACACATATTGTGATGTATTTTACAAAATGACTTTAGTTCTGAAAATTTGAGTATTTTGGAAACAGAAGAAAACTGAACAAAGATCGTGGGACCTAGTAATCATTGGAATATATAAAATACATTAAAATAAATACAGATACCCCGGAGGGTTATCCAGCATTGTCCAACTAAAGATGATCCATTGATCATTACAAGTACAAGGTAAATGGAATAAAAATAAAATCAAAGATATTATTATGTACCCTGGTAGATCTCTGAATTAAACACTTCATTTAATTTTTGTCTACTTGACATGACTGAAGCAAGGTCTCTTGCCTTGCTTGTACTAATGTATAACACAAGCTGTATATTCTCACAAAGATTTTAATTTGTCTTGTAGACAGATACTCAACTACAGAACAAACAAATCTCGTCAGTGTGTTATTAACCATTCTACTATACTACCATTAAGTGTCCCTAAGGCGTAGACCAGCTTCTGAAAAACAAGCACAACAGCTTCCGGTTTGTCAAAAAACAAATACACCACCCTGTGTATTCAACCTTCAAAATTGTTTACATAGATTCAACATCTTGAATATCTTTGAATTATTTTAATTGACCAAAATCTATTTAGAGCAAAGAGGTATGTTATAGAATAGCGGCTCAGTGTGAGATGTTCGTCGATCAGAACACACTGCTGGCATGCAAATTATGAAGTAAATAGTACCGAGTGAAGGGCTTTCCGGAGGTGCTTATAGTCACCTGCATCTGGAAGAGTCTTCTAGCCCACTGAATACAGACTGGTACCTGACTGAACATTAATTATCACAGTGAAACAAATATTTATAAAATTAAAACATTTTTGTTTGGTTTGTTTGTGTTTTACGTCCTATTAACAGCTATGGTCATTTAAGGACATGCCAGGTTTTGATGGGGGATGAAAGCAGAAGTTCCGGAGAAAAACCACCGACTTAGGGCCAGTACTTGGCGACTGCCCCAAATAGGGCTCGAACCCGTGACCCAGTGGTGCTAGTGGTAGCAGAATGTTAGACACTTTAACCACTTGGCCACCGCGGCCCTGTATATAAAAAATATCTGACAATCTCTATAAATTAATCAAAAGTGCATGATAAAAAAAAATTCAAATGAATACAAGGGGATTTTACAACTCAAACACATATTCTAGATTTTTAATGATACATTGTACATGACAACCTTTATAAGCTGACACCCTGTGGAACAAAACATTATTTGGATTAGAAAGGATGTAAAATATACAGGTTTTATTTGGTAGATTTTTTATGTTGGATAAACCAGTATTTCAGAATATCCAGGGGTTGAACTACAGGTTTCACTGTGAAATTAAAGTCTATTCTGCTCATGTGATTACCTATTAAGTGGCCACCTGTGTTAAGAGAACATCTGTGTTAAGTGATCACCTGTGTCAAGTGGCCACCTGTGTTAAGTGGCCACCTGTGTTAAGAGACCACCTGTGTTAAGTGACCACCTGTGTTAAGTGACCACCTGTGTTAAGAGACTGCCTGTATTAGGAGACCACTTTTTGGACTTTCTGAGGGTGGTCTACATCTCTTTATACAAGTTTGACTGTGTAGGTAAGCTGAACGATCACTTCACATGTCTTCCTTACAATTGTGGAATGACTCTAATGAAATGTACATACAACTAAAAATTGTATATACGTCTGATACAACGTATCTAAAACCTAATTTCATCTAGCTGTATATGTGTATTTTAAGAATTAAATAACACAATATATCTAATGCTAAAATGGAATTTTTACCTTTCTATATTATTTTCAATTTGAAATCAAATAAACTCTAACAATGTAAACATCGAAGCTGGAATGTTGTTATTTACATCCTACAATAGAAAAGGGAAGTTGTAATAACGTCATTACATTGTGTGGTTTCCCAGTTAAATTACCTTTTTATGATAATTCAAGATATATCTATAAAGGTGTTAACAACACACCAATAAACTCTGATAAAAAGCACGCTGACTCATATAATCATGTGACACAATGTACCCAATCAAAACACTGTACAGTGCCACAAACTTATGTACCTCCATAAAGTGCAGAATTCAACACTTCCTCCTGAGCTGCCATCAAAGACATGTTTACAAAGGCTGACACAGGGCTTACAATTGAACAGCTTCTGTTAGACTATATAAATGTCAAACTTCCTCTTGTTAGTGAGGTTGCTGGGCAATAGGATTGCATCATTCATGACCAGATCTAAAAGGGGTTCAAACAGAGAAAATATACCATCATATCAGAAAAAAAAATCAACAGGGAAATAAACAAGAGGCCCAGAGGGCCTGTATCGCTCACCTGCATAATGAAGCAGTCATAGCAAAATAATCTCATTAGATATTAATTACAAATATTTCACTCACAAACTTTGTAGTCTCCATCCGTTGAAGCTACCAGCCAAATACTTTTATATGATTCTATGCTTTTTGGTTATTCTTCAGAAATATTTGTGATATTTGACATATTTGTCCCTGTGACCTTGTAAGTGGGTCAAGGTCATTTCCCTTCTCAAACTTTGTTGGCTCTATTCCAAGAAGCTACCAGCCAAATCTTCTGAATTTGTGCCTTTTGGTTCTTCAGAACAAGTTGTTTGAAATGTTGTTGGCCTCTGTGACCTTTAAAGAAGGTTTAGGTCATTTTCATTTGCAAACTTTGGTGAGAAGCCACAAGCCAAATATTATGATTCTATGCCATTTGATTATTCAGAAGTTGTTTGATGTTCAGAAGAAGTTGTTCAGAAGAAGTTGTTTGACCTCTATGACATTGAAGGTAGGTCAAGGTCATTTTCATTTTAACACTTAGTCGGGCTCTATCCAAAAAACCTAACTTGCCAAATATGAAGATTCTATACCTTTTAGTACCTCAGAAGAAGTTGCTTGAAGTGTTTCACATATTTGACCCCTATGACCTTGAAAGAAGGTCAAGGTCACTTTTGTTCTCAAAACTTGACAGGCTCCTACCAATGAAGCTTTCAGCCAAATATCATGACTCTTCAGAAGAAGTTGTTTAAAGGAAAAGATGACGGATGGTCGACAGATGGAAGGGCAGGTGAGCTAAAAACTAGAAAAGTCTTGTAAAATATCCTTGTACCCCCATTTTCACATTGATGAAAATTAAGCTAAACACAAAATGCAACCAAAGTCAGTAAAGTTGAAAATATAGGTTACAGTGACCAACATGTCAAATAATGGTAAAATACTCTTGAAGATTATCTTTATACACAAACATCTGATGACTGTGGGACATATATATTCCTTCTTGCCCTTTGATAAAAATAAAGCGAAATGCGAAGCCTGACCAAAGTCTTGATCAGTCAAGTGAAAACTATAGGTTGCAGTGACCTTTGTTTTATATAAAGGAGTAGTGTTCCTCAAGATGTTTTGATAAAGAATTTTGATTACAGGAGCCGGACACAAAGTCTAACTGTTACTAAACAAGAGGCCCAATGGGCCTGAATCGCTCACCTGGTATTAATCTCACAAATAATCTTTAAAGTGGACTAAAATACAGCTACAGGCAGAATATCAGTGTTTGACTCATAAGAACCTATTATAATTTTATGAGAAGGGAGAAATACACCAGGCGAAAATTGAGTTTATGAAAGTATGGTGAATTTAAGTTGCCCAAGACAAAAATTTCCCAGTACACAGTATTACAAATGTCCTCCAAATTATCTTAATAGGTACAATGGAAGCCAGATGATACTGACATTTCCCTCTGACAACCACAGTGTACTTGTAACCACATTAGACCATTTTGAGCACCAGTGACTAAGTATATCCTCATCCACAAAATTTAAAGAATCAAGCAAATAAGTTGTGTTTTTTCCCTATTTTTCAAATTGCTTATTGCTGTCATTATGACATACTAGATACATGTTTTATTAAATGATTTGTAGGATTCACACACAAAACACTCTCTCCATGGAAAAATAGTTGCATTTGAAATGAGGGATATCTCCTTCATTGCAGGTTTCAGAGGTTGACACCTATGCTGTTCTAACACTTATTTTCCATCATATACATTCACTGAGGTGAGGAAGTCATGAGAATAATTTTCTTAAATTTGATCTTTTACAGATTAGAACCAAGTATACACTTTCAGGTTGACAGTTGTTCATCACAACTTTTTTATTCAGACAAGATTGACATTTAATCAGTATTTTTTGGTACCTACACTGACAACCTTGCCCAAAATCATGAAAAAATCAGAAGTCTGAAAACTTCTTTAAGTATTGAAAACTGAAACTGTCTTTAGTATTGACTAAACCAATCACAACATGAAGAGTGAAGTCATAAGTTATTGGCTAAGCAAAAACTTAACTCTAGGGTTGTTTCATGATCCTGGGGCCAGGTTTTACGCATGCGTAACTTCTCAGGGTTCATGCGGTACAAAGGTAGTCAGTACATGATAGTTTAAGGTTGTTTACTCTGTACAATATAGCCTTCCGTGACTAAATATAGCTTTCTTATTCTCGGTTACCACGCTCCGACAGTTATGTATGAAGATTAAAGACCATTATCAAAATCTTTATTTACGATACAACCTATCCACAAATATCCTTCAAAATCATTGAAAATTCCTACACTATCCAATGAGCATCACCGCAGTTCATAGGTTTATAATTACATTAAACATGAAAGACTACTACAATGAACTACAATGTACTTCATAGTAGGTATATATCAAAACCTTGTTACACCGCTAGAATTTGTCCAGGGATTTTTTTCCACATAATTTGGTGATATAGCAAAGGAAACATACCTAGAAATATTTCAGAAACATGAAAAATGTACCTTAGATTGAACAGTTTTAAAGTCAAGAG